TATATATATATATATATATATATATATATATATATATGAGGATGAAAACTTTTTTTTTAGACGTGGTATAACTTGAATGATTATATTCGTGGTCCTAGTCACTGCGTAAAGGGACTGAAGCCTTCACATTCATATGTCTTTGCTGTCCGAGCTGAGAATTCGAACGGTTTGGGGCCTCCGTCAGAAATAAGCGAAGTTGCACATACAAGTTCTGCTCGAAGTAGTTGTAAGTTTTCTGCGGACGGAGTGTCAGTTCGTATTTGATGATCATCGTCTGCTTTTTGCTATTAATTCTGACATTCATGGCTATTTTTGGTTTTCAGATGATGGTGACGTATTGTCGTATTCAAGTCTAGATTCAAAAATGGCTTTACGAAGCCTTGGTTCAGCACAGTTAGTGAAACTAAGAGACGTTCGGACAGTTAACTCAACAGCAGTTGAAGTGTCATGGAAGGTAGTGTAGTAATGCTTTGCTGCCGAAATTTTCCGTGATTCTAGATCCAGTCAAAGCGACAAGCTATCATTTTTTTTAGTGGGTGTCTTTTGCAGACTCTTCACATGGAACCATTGATAGAAGGTTATTACATACAGTGGAGGCTTCCTAATAGCCCCGATACCAATTATATAAAAGTTGGGACAAGGGAAGCACAAAGTGCTATTGTAAATGGTCTGAAACCATTTACACACTATGATTTTTTTGTTACTCCTTACCACGGACCGGATCGAGGAAGACCTAGCAATTCTCTCGAGGGGAAAACCGACGAAGCTCGTGAGTATTTTCATGCAGCGCAGCTAGTGACTTTTAAATTACAACTTTCTGGTTTTTAAGGTGCAGATTTTTAATACGCTTATGACGTTTTCTTACTTTAGCTCCTGGTGAGCCGCCTCCGGAAGTTAGAGTACGTATGATGAATATAACTACTTTAAGGATATCATGGCAGAAGCCACCTCAGGAAACATTAAATGGGATTTGTGTTGGTTATCAGGTAATTTTAACCATTTTGTGACTGCTGTTTAAAGTACCAAATTGTCTTCAAGATCTTGGGGCTACTCCATTTTTTTTCCATTTCGTCTTTTGCAGGTTACCATTACTGGTAGAGGACTGCGTTACAGCAGAAATATAACTACCAGTGAACGCGCTGCTAGTGTTACTTTATTCAATTTAGAACCCAATATGTCCTACACTGTCAAAGTAGCTGCACGGACGAAGGCTGGGATTGGTGCATTTCGAAAGCTTGATCCAGTCGTTATGAGTAAGCTTTAGCACTTCATAGTTTTTGTTTTTGAAGTCCTGGTGAAGTTTTTTTAAAGAACAGATTTAAACTTTAGAAAGAAATATTTTACGTCTGGATCATGTTACAGTTTAAATCGTTTGGTCATTCTAATTAAGTCTTATATCTTTATTCTTTTTTGCTCATGTTTGTTCTACTCTTTTTTTTAACAAGTTTTTTGAGCTATTTTCTTGGGAAGTCGTTTCGTGTCATTTTTCAGGGTTGAGTTTTCTGCCGTCTCTGTTTTTGTAACTTTTAATTTTTTGTAGCGTAATTATTCTGTAGGATGTAAATTAATTGTATCAATAAATATGATTATATTTCCCACTTTTTCGAACAGTTTTAAACGTGATTTCTAAGAAAAAAACCGCTTTTTTTTTTTCAGATGAACAGACACTACAGGAGCATAAGCGTTTAATGCACTCTTCCTCTGGTGTTAGGAATATATTACAAGTGTTTGAGAAACCGTGGTTTATTCCAGTTGCTGCCGTTCTTATTTGGCTTATTCTTGTTGCAATTATTGCTTTTATATATTGGAAGTGGAGGAGCTTGCGTGGGAAGGCCAATAGTATTTTTTTCAAAATTAATTGAACTTTTTTTAAAGCAACATCAAATCTTGAAGATCTTTCTTCCTCTACTCTTTTTTTTTTTGATTTTTCTGCACATTTAGGAATGCCATTTATAAAAATAAATGATGGAAGTGTTCATATGACTGCTCGAGATGCAATGTGGATGGATCATCCAAACTTTAATTCAGCTCAGCGATCTTTACTTTTAAGCGGGGCTGTTTCAAATGGTAGTTGTGGGGCTCCTCCCGTCTATACTCAAACTCCTCATCACGCTGACTATTATATAGATGGCCAAATGGCTCATAGCGAATATCCAATTAACCTTATGAATACTATTAATCGATCACAGTCACCGAATCATTATCATTATGCTTCTTTGTCTGGCAACCCAATAGTGCCAACTTTTTGTGGCGGCGGAAATCAAATTATGGTAATGAGTTTTTTATCATTAATTTTACCAGTTTTCGGGTGTTAATTTTCAACTAGATTTTCAATCAATAAGAAGTAAATATTAGTTTAGTTTGGTGTTATGTGCTATACTTGCTTTTTTGTATACTCTTCTTACGTAATTAATTTTGAACTTTAGGATGACCCATCTCCATATGCCACTACTACCTTGGTAATGAATAATAGGAGGAAGTGGATCCAAGATAACATGGTGAAACCCCCTGTTTTGCCATCGAATCCTGTCCCTTCAGGTCCGCCACCCCGTTACTTGCTTAGCTGCGACTCGAATACCATGAGTGGAAGACGTTCAGTAAATCTGAGAGCTCATCCTCTGGTAGAATCTAGAAGTCAGGGTTTCACCAAACAAGAGAGTCCTCCGCATACAGACGTTTCATATGTGCAGTCGTCTGATGGCACTGGAGGTTGATTCTTGTTGTTGTTTACTTCGATTGGTTACGTTTGTCTTGGTCTTTTCCGGTTACATCAGCAAAACGTTTTTTTAGAACCAGTATATTTGTATTGTTCTTTTATGTTGGTCAGCAATATTAATTTTTAGGCAGTTCGAACGGGCGAACTAAGTTGGGAACACTTGGCAATGGTCGCCGAACTCCACCTAAACAAACTTTAATGGATCTTTTACCTCCTCCGCCTTCTGAAGCTCCCCCTCCTGAGGAGACTTCAGAAGTTGAAGCTTCATCTAACCAAGTGAGTGAAATGTGCTTTAGTACGCTACCACTTTAAGTGGTAAACCCACTCACTGCTTTCTTGACACTCATGGTTTTCTGCACTTTTTAAGAAGTGTGACTATATGGGTACTTTGCAGCTTTTGTCTTTGTTATTTTTGAGTGTCTTTGCATTTTCAGGTGTCGAGTAATGTGGCAGACGAGAAAGCTCATTTAAGAGTGCGAACGAATGAGCTCTATGACACTGTATCTGAAAACTTATTAGGTGAGAATGAGAAAAGGTATAATCACAGCAGTACTGGTTTACCGAACAATAGACCAAATAGTCGGCTGAGATCTGGTTAGTTTTTTCTAGTTGTTGCTAGGAGGGTGCTGGAATTTGGTTTAAATTTGTTATAGTTTTAGAGCTTATTATTTTTTGGTGCTTTACAGGTTATCGAAGCAACGGTAGCGGAAGGCAAGAAGAAGATGATAGTCAGCGATCTTCACTTATGATGGACGAAAATGGGTGCTCGACTTTTTGTTCTTCATCTGAAGCTGATGAGGAGAATTCTGACGGAGACGAGAATCAGTTTTCTAACAGGAATGATGTAGGTAGCGGCACAGACCATGTTCAGCATCGACCATTACAGCCCTGCATGGGCGTAAGCGCCTCCGCGCTCTCACAAAGTTCCTGTATGCTTTTTTAAACCCTTTATGAACTTTTAAGCGTTTTCCCACGTTGAAGGCACCATGCAGGATGGGCCGACTGGAAGTGTCGCACTAGTACATTCTGATCTTTTAATGAAGAAGTGTTAGGAAGGGCTAGCTTTAAGATTAATAAGAACTATTTTAAAACGAGTAATTTTCATTACCAACGATTGGTTTTGGAAAGTATGTTTTTACTTCTAAAAAAAATCCGGTTAATGTGCGGGCCAGGGAGGGTGACCCATCGGGCCGCTTTTCTGGCTGTTTCCGCACTTTATTTGAGAGTCGGAAAACTCACATTTTCTATCTGGATAACTTGAGTGATACTAGTCGTGTTTGGTTATAAATTACTTGCGGTTCTTTCCCCCTCCCAACCCCCCACTCTGAATCTGGAGTTTGTCCATCATTCCAGAATTTAAAATTTGTGGTATAAATTTTTGCTCTTTTTTGCTGACAAATACCTGTAGTATTTATTAGGAAATGACGTAGTTTTAAGTCGCGAAGTAAATATTAGTGTATTTAGTGACTGGTGGGTAGAAAACTTCTGTTTTTTTTATTTTGCCAGCCGCATCTTCTATATTGGTTGTAATGAGACTAAATTTTATCTATTACAATTAGAATTTATTGACTCAATGGGCTGAATTAAGGATAAGGCCACCGTACTAAAAGAGTTCCAAAAATTCTTTTAGGAAGTAGGGTTTTAAAGTTGCAAACAAGAAGTTTTGACTGTGAAGGGGTTTCTTATGTTTGTTATACTTCGAATGCACAACAACCTTTATATTTATGTATACTAAGTTTGATATAAAAAAATAATTGCTTATCAAAGTGCATTGTAGATGACGGATGTTCAGCAAGGAGATCATTGAGTCGTTTGAAGCAACCGCCGCAACGAAGTGTAAAAAATGAACTTGTTTAGAAATTGCGCAGAGTATCATTTCGGGTATTCTAAATCTAGGTTTTTTGGGTTGTTCAGATCTTTGTTATTGCTTGTTATTTGTGTTATACAGCTCAAATAACCTAGATCATGTCATGT